AGAGGGGGGGGGAGCAGTCAGCCAGCCAGACGGAAAAAAAACCTTTAACGGCAGGTTTTAATGCATTTCTCTGATAAATTCGTTCTCCTCTCCCTTACCCCCAACTAAAACACACATGCTATCTTACTTTTTCCCCCTTTGATTTTGCAAAGAGAATATAAACGCAAACCAAATCTAGATTCTGGAAAATAGATGAGTTGTCGCGAGTCTTTGAAATCATAAGATTAAACCGCTGTTAAAAAAAAAATTCAACAGAGGCTAGGCGCGCACAGGGCAATTTTAGTTCCGCAACAGTTGCTGTTTCCGAGCAACTTATTTTACACTCTGCGCGCGCAGAGCCAAGCAACAACCAGGCAACAGCAGTAGGCTATCATCACTATTACTATTACTATTACACATTACTGACTTCCTCCTTTGACGTCATGGATTTCCATTATAATATAAAACGCAGTAGCCTACCTATTGTTGCGATAGTTGCACTTAGAAAAAAAAAAAGGAAAAAGCGGTTTTGGGTTCACTCTTTGACCAGTCAGAGGTTTTTAAAAGTAGGGCATGAAGTTTTGAGAGCATACCTTCCGAAGTTTTTAAAAACTATTATCGTAAGCTCCGATGGTTGTTATAGATCTAGATTATATCTGTCCCCGTTGTTATGCAAGAAAAATTCTGAAATTCTGAAAACTGAGCTTGAGAAATTATGCGACTCTGTAAATGTTAATAAAGAATGATAAAGTATCATACATGAATAGGAAAATAATTTTTAAAAAAAATGCTAACAATGAATTTTTTTGCTAAGTTATGTGGGGTGAATAAAACCACCCGGGACAGTGTAATTAACTTTTAACGTCTTGTGGGACCCTCAATTACGCAGCGAAACACCAACTGGAGGAGCAGCATTTTACTCCTTTAGCAGAGGAAAGGCCAGATCAGTAACACTGAGGTAGTGAATGTCTTTTGTCCTCTGAGAGAAACAATAATTTAGGGAAAGACAGAGGAAAAGTTTAATATATATGTACCATTACGTATCTTGTTTTGTCAGACACAAGAAAGATTCACCCGGGGCGATGCTTCTGATCACTGAAGTGTCTTTGGGCCATTCATAAGGGGGACATTAAACCATGTTCTTATGCACAGTAGAATTGTAAAGTTGTAAATGGGCAGATTCATCAATGTCATGCTCATAACTGTGCCTGAACTGCAACAGGGAACTGCTGCTTTTTCTTTCCTAATCCTTACACTTACTGTCGTCATTTTCCCTCTGCTGGTCTACTTCTTTTGTATGTTTTGTCACACTCTTGTAACCCGCTATTTTCCGGGTTGCCTTGATAGTCGAAGCAGACTTTGGGCTGTTGAAGCTAGAGAGGTGAGCAGAGTAAGTCTGATTCCCTGTAAGGACTTCTCTGTTGACATCTATATACCCCTTGGCGCTCATATGACCTTATGCAGTTGCGAGTGCCGCAAAACTTCTACTATAAAAAATAAAAAATTCAAAGAGAGAGGAGCAGACAGGAAAAAATCGTGGCCAGTTGCGTGCTCATGCCATACGCTACATGTAATATGTAGTTAGTTATAAAGGATACATTTTATGTACTTGTCTGTCCCCGCGGTTTCATGCAAAGCAAAGTCTGAAATTATGCAAACTGAGCCCAAAAATGTGAAATTATAAATGCGATTCTGTTAATTTTAACAAAGAATGATAAAGGAAAATAATCAGAACTTATGCAAAAAATGATCAAATTTTGCTAAATGCGGGGTGCATAAAACCATGGGGACAGACTTGTCACGGCGTATGGGGACGTACGACAGAGAACGACAAAAATAAAATACGTGAGATACAAATCCATTTGTATGAAATCAACTTCAACACTTTAATGGACGATGAAACGCAAAAAACGTTATATTGCAGCTTACATGGTTTCACAAAACGATAAAACAGGGATCAACAGTTTGAGTTAGGCTAAACTACAGAGCACAATAGAAGTTTAAATTTTGTACCGGAAAATTATTGCAATTGCAGGGTAAAGATCTCGCTGAAGCTGGTGACGATGGGCCCCTCTGGTTGGTAGCTGACAACTAGATCTACTTCTTCTAGAATGCAGTACTTGTAGAATTCATTGGGTCGGGGGCTGCCCAGTTTGTCAGAGGCCCAATATGTCACAATTTCATTATTTCAGTTTTGATGACCGTCATAGTTAATACAGCATTTTAACACTGTAATTGTAACTTAAGTTTTTTTATTCTCCACCTTCAAATTGGTGGTGTAGAGATAGTCTCTCTAAAATGTCCATTCAGCTTGTGTTGTTCAATATTTCTTCCTTTTTGTTTGCAAATCAAAGCAAATTACTCAGTAAAATTTCAACAATGAATATATTCTTTCGTAAAAAATAAAATTCAATTCATACAGTCAATCAATCATTCATACTCTCTTGGGGAGTATCAGTGATAACTTCCATCATGCAGGGCACAGTAAAGGCGGGGTGGGCCTGTGAATACAGCGCAGTTGCAATAGTAGCTAGTACTCGATTTCTTTGCGACTGATTCATGTAGCCATATCGACTGACGGGGGGTGAGTTCCTGACCAGCTTCTCCGACTGGTGACCTATTTTTTGACCGAGGGTTGAGAGTCCATAAATTGATATTTGTTAGTTATGCGAAGCATTTCAATTTTGGCTTCGCATTTGTGTTCTTCGCTTCTAATTCTTTTCATTGCTGGCAAAAGAGACAAAAGGAAAGACTTATCTTCATCTATCTCCTCATGCTTATCTCGTAAAATATTGAGAAGAGTCTCCTCGAAGGACACTTCTTGTCTCTTTTTAGAACGAGACGGACCTGGTTGAGAGAGCCGGTTTTGGATGGATTGGGCCTCATCTTCGTCGAGCACCTGCTGTTCGGCTTCAGTAGACCTAGTGGTTTCATGAACAGTTTCGTCCCTTTTTGTCTCTCTTCTATCTTCTATCGTGGGATGAAGAAACATCAGCCGCTCGAAGTAGATGTATTTGCGTCGCCTCTTCTTGGCTGCCTGGCCTGACACCCCTTTCGTCTGTGCCCTGAGCTCCCTCGCAAAGCATGTTCTCAGGTTCTTCCAACGCCCTTGTACTTCATTACCTGGAATTGAAAAAGAAAAGTAAATTTTAAATGAAATGTTTAGTAATGTAGCAACAGACCCAGCGGACTCATTAATTAACTCTATCCGTACGTCGTATTTAACTTGTATCCATACAACACGGGGAACTCTGTGCCCTCATTTTCCAAAGAGGAAATTTACTTGTTAATCCAATTCGGTCGCTTTGCATAGCAGTCAGTTAAAATGATTTTTTGAGAAATACTGAGAGTTTCAAAGAGATCCTCCCACTAGAAGTATTCTAAAATGTGAAGAATACAACCCCGGGGGTAAAAAATGAATCCAGGCGTATGGATATTGGGTTAATTAATTAATTTCATCATCATCATCACCCTCATGATAACTATTTGGTGAAGGGGGCATGGTGGTGATGTGGTTAAGATGCAGGCCACTCTCTTTCTCCCACCCGAGCGGCTCCAGTTTGTTCCTGTGTGGGCGAAAAATTTACCTCTTTTCGGGAAATTCACATCCCCTGGTCCTATGTAGGCAGGAACAAGCACCAGCAGTCCTATCGGAGATGGACTATAAACTCGAAGGTCCCGTGTATCTGTGATGCACGTTATCGATCCTTTGACAATTTAGACGGCAGTCTGGGCATAATTAAAGAAAATGTCTTACAAAATCCCCGATATCACCGTATTATAATGGAAGTGTGTTTATTCAATAAACAAACAAGCCAACTTTTTTGCGATGTTAACGTTAAATAATATTATTTTGATAATGTCCTTATTTTCTTCCATCATGTCCAGGTACTTGGCCACAGGAGGTAACTTCAATTCACTACATGGTAATTAATACTTGCTGGGTGCCACCACTATCCGCGAAATTGTCAGAGATACATGATGAGATGCACTTTGAACTTGCCTTACTCCGATATAATGCATGTCACCAAGAGACAAAAAGACATGGCTAAATATTGCAAACAGCTTCTACAAAATTACTGTTTTCAAACTGCATCGGAGCAGTTGACGGAAAGCATTATATCAGGGTCATAAAGCCAGTTGGAAGTGAGTCTTTGTTCTTCAACACCAAAAGATTTTTCTCAATCGTTCTCTTGGCTGTTGAATACTGCTTCATATCAGTAGACATTGGCTCACGGAAACTGCAGTTATTCACAAGAGGTCGATATTTGGTGAGAAACGGGAAAGCGATCAACTGAGCATTCCTGAAAATGCCAAGCTACCTGATGATGACTGAATTGCAATGCCCTTTGTCCTGGTTGGTGACAAGGCCTTGATCGCTTTGTCAGAACACATTCTACGTCCCAACCCACGAAGGAACTTAGGTAGCATACAAGTGAAGAATCTTCAACCTGACTCATGCAAGGAAAATGTTTGAATGTTCCTTTTGGGGTTCTCTCAAAAAAATGGAGAATTCTTCTTTGAGCCCCGCATGTCCATGATGAGTTTTGTGACAGCATAATAAAAGGTGTGTTGTGTACTTCACAACTTTGTCTGCAAAAGAGACGGTGTGACATTCAAAGTCACGCTCTCTGATTGCCCTCTATAACAGAGCATGAACACCACAATTAATGTGCATGCTTCCACAACTGCAGCAGCAAGAAGAGACTATTTCGCAATGTACTTTACTTTTTCCCAAGGATCAGCAGTCCCAGCAATATACGGTATATGAAAAACCATGAATGTACCAGAGCAGTCACGCCAATTTATTTTACAATGACTTTTTTCCTTTACAGTTTAGCCAAAGATCTATCCCTTGACAAGATTGCATTCAAAATAATGTATAGCCTAGATCTCTATTTGGCTTGAATATCCATCTGAAAATAAAATTATAATGTATTTTTCATGTAGATATTTTATTTTTTAATATATTATACATATATATATATATATATTATATATAGTTTGGTCTGGGCAGTAACTGCTCTCCTTTCCTCATTAAGGGTTTAAATTCGTTTTCATGGCTTATTGGAAAGAAAATGTATACTCTGGACCTATACTCACCTTTGACTTGTCTTTCCTCTTGACTCAAATCTTCCCAGTTCTCAATCATAGCCTCACAAACCTCGACCCAAGCTTTCTTTTTCTTGTCTTTGTCAGCATACTCATCTGAGTTCTTGTTGTAGAGGACAGGCTTCTTTTCAATGAGAGAAATAAATTGTTCAATCCAAGTTGGATCGTAATCCATTTAGTTTTCTAGCAGAAGCGAAACAATGTAGACTCTATTGTTTGTGTGTACCTCTGCCAAGTCTGTTGCGCTGGGTAAAAACTGCGGGAAGTGGCGGGGCCTCGTCGAGTCCGGAGACTGTTTAGTTGCCTGTGCGCGCAATTGTGTTTCAGTTTGGTATGTAACACAGGAGAATTGAGCAACAGTTGCGTTGCCGGAAAGTTGTGACAAAGCACAAACTTTATAGTCACCATAAACCCGAGACGCCTGTGCCCGCGGTGCTTAGGCAATCTATTTCATAGTTTACATAATTTACTAAATGTGAAACAGTTGCGCAACTAAAGTTGTCCAGTGCGCGCCTGGGCCCCAAATATTCTCTGGACCCAAAACCGAAAGCGGGACTGTCCAAACCGGCAATACGGCTTAACGTCGGCCACCACCCCATTCCCTGCTCCCAGTTAGTCTGGTTTGTGTGTGTCTGTGTGTGTGTGTCGCGAGTAGCGGCTTTCTCACTGATCCACAAACGTGTTGCTCCCTCTCTCTCCCTCCCTCTCTCTTCTCTCTCGTTTTGTTTTGTGTGCCGATTCGTTCTGTTTTGCTTCAGTCACAGCGACAGAAACCGCGCTGCAAGGTAACCAAGTGGATAAGAAGGTAAGCGATGGTTGCTTGTTTTCTTGTTTTCTTGAAGCATGAAATGGTACTTTTCTGTCTTTCTGTGTTTTATTCTCTGACTTTAAAGAACTGTGTTTGTTCTTTGGCCTAATTTACGGTACTTCACATGGCTAGGCCTAGCTTCTTCTGCGTTCACAAGGGACTTCGTTTTTTATTGACCTGCAACGGGAGAGTCCAAAGTCCATGAATCTGTTTAGCCATTATCGAGAAACTGGGTGAAGCATGGGATCTCCTAATTTTCCGCTCTTGTGAAAGGTTTGAGGCCTTATGGGGGTGATTAGTCTAGATCTAGATTAGATCTAGATAGAAATAGATCTAGATCTAGATCTAGATCTAGATCTAGATTCTAGAGAATCTTGATCATGGAAGTGAAGCATTTGCTTTGCATGCCGGTGTCATTGTTGTAAAATCATTGTTTTGTGTATAGATTCTAGATCTAGATATCTAGATATTTCTAGATCTAGATCTAGATCTAGGCCTATCCAGAGTCTAGGTAGATCTAGATTTCCAGATCTAAAGATCTAGGTCTAGAGTTAGAGTCTAAATTCTAGTCCTTTTGAATTATTACATTTCTGTACAAATTATGAGGTCACTCGAACTCATAAAATACTCATGATTGCCATTGTCGGTTTGGTGCGTTGAATTCACTGATGACTGATGTATTCTACTCTTACTTAATTAATTATGATTATGAATATAGCTCTCTTATCTTTTCCTTTTCAGGTTCAATTCATTTATTGTGATTTGTAAAGTGAGCTCATAAATTATGTTGAACATTATTCATGGTTGACATATGATATGATAGGAGACTTACCACAGTCAGCTGACTTTGACTTTATGTTTTCTGACTGATCTGATCGCCGTGCGATGCCCATTTGTTTGTGCTGAAATTAGATTAATAGAACTTTTATGATCGTGTTAAGTACAATTTATAACGCTTTTGTTTGATTTGTCATTTGAATTTAAATAGCCTGCTATACAGGGAAAAGCTAAGAGTGAAAAGTCTGCTTGATCAGGACAAGAAAATAGACGTAGATCAAGGTTCATATGTATAATAATGTGTGTAGCTTTCATGATCATTCCAGTTTGGTGGGGAAAGAAGTGCAGAGTGTGTGACCTTGGACTTTGACAGTGGCGGAAAATTGAGTCCTGAACTATCTACTTACTTTCAAAATCTGAATTGACTTGAACATAATGGATTATGTAGGAGATTCTAAATTGACTTGACATTATAATGAGATTCTGACTCTGTCTCCAGGCATGAAGTATTAAGAAGACTTAAATAAAATAGCTCTAGCAGTGGTGCTGATATCCGTATA